GGAATGCCTTTCCACAGGTCAGACTCTCTGAAATGGCTTGTTACAACTTGATGGTATACTTGTAATAAAGATACTCATTTTGTTTTGCTGTTTATTTACTCCTTGTTTTTTTCCCACATAACTGCTTCCTATGTTCTGCTGTATGCTGATTTCTTTGATATGTTTTTAAAGAAAAGTACATTGTTTAAATTCTTAAAGCAGGATGCTTTTGAGTAGTGAGTTCTGTGTTCCTTTAAGACAAATAAGAAGGAACAGGGAATCCAAAGTTCTGTGAAGTTTATGTTCAAGGACAGCATCCCATAGTTATTGATATTTTTAGGTGGAATGTGACTTATTTCAGGAAAACAGTAAAGTTGAATTGAGTTGTTGTCACAGCAAGCCAAAGGAAATCCAAAAAGTATTCTTGGTCAGTTCTTTCTGCTCACTGTGATGTTTTACTATTTGAAGTATTTGTGATACTTTTTCTTTATTTTTCCATATCATCAAAATTTCTGTTAGAAACTTGAAGAGCTGGTTTTCAATATGGCATTGCAATTTTTTTTTTGGTGCTTTTCATAAAAAATTATAATTAACCTGTGTAATGGCCTGAATATCAAGATGAAGTGCATGCACACTTGTGTGTGTGGTCATTTCTAACATTAAAAAATCAATTTCAGAAACAAATCAGTATTCATTTCCGTGTTACTGAACTATCAGTTTAATACGGCCAATCATCACACGCAATGCTTTGCACTGCAGTAAATTTTCACAGTATTGAAAAAAAGTTGTGTATTTGGAGAAGACTGCTTTACAGGTATGTAGGAGACAAATGGAGTAAGTTCAGAATTGAAACTTGGTTTTAACTCCCTGTGCCTTGCACTAATTCCTAGAAACTTACCTGCAAAACATGGTCACCTGCAAATTGTTGTTCCAAAAATAACTAAGCACTAAAATTATTAGTATTAAGAGTCTCTAATCAAAGGCACCTTGGGATGGTTTTTATCTTACTCCAGTTGTGTCTGAAAGAATTGCTGAACTAATACAAAACATGATGGGAATAATCTTCAGTCAGGTTATCTGGAAACAGATTTTGTACTAGGCAGCTTATATTCCTGGAGAAGCATGATGTGATTATTGCCTTAATAATTTTATTGTAAGTATTTGGTAGAAGAATAAAGGAAGATGTAAATAGTTGACTGACTTAGCAAAGGGGAGGAGGCAAAGTATCTTTTATGTATCTGTCCAGTTTTTGACACAACCATTATTTGGAGAAGTAATTCCAAATAAACTTCAAATAGACTTCTTCCAGCTCTTTCTCTTACATGCTTCTCCGTGTCAGGGTGTAATCTGGACCTTTGAGGTCTTAAGTCTTAAGAAAGACTTATTTAAGTCTTTCTGCAATATGTAAATAATCTACACATCTGCGTGGGGATTCATGAAAAATGCTGTATAAAAACATTCAGCTTCTTTCTCCTTCCCCACAGGGTTCACTCCATCTCCTGTTGCTCAACCACAGCCATCAGCTGGCCTTAATGTTGACTTTGAGTCTGTGTTTGGAAACAAATCCTCAAATGTTGTCCTAGATTCTGGTGGTAAGACACTTACTAAGATAGATGACATATGTCCTTTAACTTCTGTTATTCTTGAGGTATAAATCTCTTAGTCTATATTTACTTATGTTGCTGTGACAGTGTTCCAACTGAAGAAAGCTGACTTTAAAAGGTCAATAGCAGCATTCTTCATCCAGTTTCTCTTAATTAATCAAATACTTTTTCTTTACACACTACTTCAATGTGCAGTCTGCTAAAATGTTTACATTGATTTCCTTCACTTAAATATTTTGTGCATTAAAAATTCACACAGTGAAGAGTCTTTGTTTTTACTTCCTGCCAGCTGAAGTAAAGTGTATTTGTAGAGTGTTACTGGAAGAGGTAAAATCGCATCTTCATTTTATGTATCTGTGCCATGCATTTTTGGCACTTCTTTGCCTAAATGTTACTCTTTCAGTGTTAATTTATCATTTTCTAAAATCTTATCGAATCATACACAGTTAATTCAAATTACAGTCATATTTACTACTCTTGAGCATCTGGAAAGGAAATACTTTCTGGCCTTTGAACTGTTGACATCAGATTCTTTTTTAGGCAAAAAACAAATACATGTTTTTATGAGATTGAAATATTTTAGGTACAGTTTATTTTTTGTTACATTTTGGTGGAATCATGAATCCATTCCATGGAAAATTGATGTCACATAAGTTAAACTAGTAAAGTGAAATCTCCATTCTGTAGTAAAGATTTCTTTTCTCAAGAGGCCTGATAAGGTTTATCCTTCCTGTATAGTGTGGCATCACTTGGTTAAATATTGTATTTTAGCCATTGTGTTGAACTTGGTGTCTGTTTGAGTGTGATGACATTCAGGGGAGGCCTGGGGCTCAAATAACTTCTTTTATGTCTATCATTCCAAGGTTTTGATGAATTAGGTGGTCTCCTAAAACCAACAGTGGCCTCTCAAAACCAGAGTCTTCCAGTTGCCAAAGTACCACCTAACAAATTAGTGTCAGATGATCTGGATTCATCTTTAGCCAATCTTGTGGGCAGTAAGTATTGAACCACTAACATGTAAACATGTATTTAGTTCTTCTCAATGAATAGATTTTCAATAGTATCTTTTTCTACTTTTTAACAGATTTGGGCATTGGAAATGGAACTACAAAGAAGTGAGTATGCTTAATCAAAAGTTGAGCCTTTTGGTTTTCTTGATAGTAAATTTTTAGGAGGTACAGGTTCAGACTTGTGTGGAACAACATGATGTGGTTTCCTCCCCCTCTATTCTGCATTGGTGAGGCCACATCTGGAGTATTGTGTCCAGTTCTGGGCCCCTCAGTTCAAGAAGGACAGGGAACTGCTCGAAAGAGTCCAGCGCAGAGCTACGAAGATGATTAAGGGAGTGGAACATCTCCCTTATGAGGAAAGGCTGAGGGGGCTGGGTCTCTTTAGCTTGGAGAAAAGGAGACTGAGGGGTGACCTCATCAATGTTTACAAATATGTAAGGGGTGAGTGTCAGGGGGACGGAGTTAGGCTTTTCTCAGTGATGACCAGTGATAGGACAAGGGGTAATGGGTGTAAATTGGAGCATAGGAGGTTCAAGGTGAATATCCGAAAAAAATTTTTTACTGTAAGAGTGACAGAGCCCTGGAACAGACTGCCCAGGGAGGTTGTGGAGTCTCCTTCACTGGAGACATTCAAAACCCACCTGGATGAGTTCCTGTGTGATGTACTCTAGGTGACCCTGCTCTGGCAGGGGGGTTGGACTAGATGATCTCTCGAGGTCCCTTCCAGCCCCTAAGATTCTATGATTCTATGTTAACTTTCAGAACACGTCTGGGATTGTACTTTGTTTCTCATACAAGATACAATGAATTGTTGAGAGCTGTTGCAAGGTGATAGTGTGATAGTGACAGTGATAATAGCAGGCAAGATGTCCTCTGTCTCTGATTTCTTTCAGCCATGGTCTGTGTTTAGGAAATTGGTTCATCAATGTTTTTTGTAGTTGTAGGTAGTCCTAGCACACCTTTATATATACTTTGTGTGATCTGAGTGCTTGCAGAGCTGTATTAAAGATAGTGAAACTACAATCTGACTTGTGGCTGACCTTCAGAGAAGTGAATTTTTGAGCAGAGCGTATTTTACAATAGTGAACATCTGCTCTAGCAGCAAAGTTGAGAATGTAATTTAGCAAACTTTAGGCTTATTGGGACCATCTGTACCAACTCTGAAATCATTCAGAAAATATAGTATCCAGTTGCTCTTAATTAAACTATCTTGATCCAAGAATAGTCAGCTAGACTAAGTTACCCATACTGGGGAACTTGACTGAGATCACATAAAGCTGAGGTGGCTCATGTTGAAGATCTTGCCGTACCTGTCCTAGCCAAAACATTTCCAAGAGCCATTTCCTAGCCACATTTCCAAGAGAAAGCATTGTTTGCTGGAGGGAGCTTAGTAAGAAAATCCACTTTTCTAATAAAAAACACTTTATTTGAAGTGATGTCAACTGGACTCAGCCGGGTGAAAAGAAACTAACAGGCGGTTCCAACTGGCAACCCAAGATTGCACCTACAACCGCGTGGAACGCTCCGACGTTGGTAAGCGAGTGCTCCTTCTCAAATACTGAGCTCCCTGCAACTCAGATATGCACTCTGGTGTGTAAGGGAGAAATCTGAAAGGGTTCTGAAGTTGCAGTAAAAGGGAGTAGAAAAATGAAGTTAGTCTGAGATGTGTACTGCTTGGATTTTTTTTTCTGAGCTGTGTGGTTCTAGTAAATAATTTGTGATGTGACCTGTGCAGATTTAGCTTAAACTTTAGTAGTGTTTGACCAGCCTCTCTCTTGGCAGAACAGCAGCCTTTGTGTTTCTCACAACTGATGTAAAAGTGAATTCCAGTGGGGTCGGGGGGCACTTTGCAGTCTAGAAAAGTAGAAGTCTAGAAAAGTGTGTTGTTCAGCAGCACTGGTAGGTCAAGTGTGTGTAACACAACAACTCAGCCTACTCTGGGGGCAAGAATGGGAGAGAGATGAATGCTCTTGACACATGCAGAGGTGTCTGTGCTGTGGGCTGTAGCTTTCCTAATGTATGGAACTGCTGCTGCCCTGCCCTAGTGAGTGCAGTTATCTTTAATGCATGTCAGTTCTGGTGATCAACTTCATAGTGTCTCCTGTAGACAGTATTATTGCTGAGGATTTTTGGGCAGCATGTAGAATGAGGAGTCTTAATTACAAGGGGGGGAAGAGGTTAAGAGTCTGTAGAGCAGATTTCACAATGGTAACAGAATACATGTGCTTGTGAATTCTACTCACCCTTTCACCAATGACCTGCAGAACTCTACGTGGACAGAACAGGCAGCAAACAACCCCAGAGGATTTATTGCATCTGACTCTAACTGACTGGGGGAGGTTGAATCCACAGTGTAATGATACAGTGTTGTGGGTTTGAAAAGAGACAGCTTGTCTCCCTGGATCCACCACCTCTTCCCTACTGAGTGCCCCTCATCAACTCACTACACTTATGTGGGGAGAAATCTTTGGCGGCCTTACTGGAGGGTGTTAAGATTTGATGACTAGATATTGAAAAACTGTAACTACTCACCTGCTTTAATGACTGGTGGTTTGAGTTTACTTGTGTGCTTGAATCTGTTTAATAACTCGTGTCTTGTATATGCATCTTCTTGTGATAAGTCATTATGTTTTAACAGCTTTTATTATTTAGAGATACTGTTGAGACACTTCTCGCTGTGAAACTGTTCCATCAACATGAAAATTTTGAAACAGAAATGATCTAGAGGAAAAAGAGTTTGTCTTCCTCTGCTGGTCTATTTATTGTGGAGTTGCTGCTGCTCGAGAAATAAATATGCTTTTGAAAATAAGGCTTTCTTGTCTTTGGAAAAAGGCATATACCAAATAAATGGACCAAGCAAAACAATTGGAAACATAATAATGACAGTATCACAGGCGTATGTAGTCTCAGTAAATTACTTGAATGACAAGAATGTGTTGGGGTAAACATTTAATGTATTTGTGAACTAAAATGCTATCTGTGTATATTCTGTTGTGTAAGTATTTGCTTCTAATCCAGTGTTATTGCATTATGTAATTGTTCTCCCTGGGAAATACAGAATGGCATGCATTTTCCACAATACGTAAGTGAAACAACCCACAGCCTTTTTGCAATCGACTGGCATGCTGATATTAACCACTGCTGTTGCAGAATCTCATAACCTTCTTGCTATTGACACATTTCTCATTTTAAAATCTTTGGTGTGCCACAAATTGAGCTTTTCCTAGCATACACGAATCCCATAGGTGGTCTGCAGGCTCTTGACTCGAATGATGGCATGGGAAATACCAAGATTATTTTTCCTTGCTTTAAACTGTACCATTTGCTGCCAGAGAGCTGGGGTGTGTGTCTGTGCTGCCTTCAGTGCACTTGGTGAATTTTGAATGAAGATAAAAATGTTTGTGTTTGAATAACTGCATGAAACCTCTCGGGCTTCTGTTATATTTGGCACTTTATCCACATTTATGGTAGATCTTGATTATTTTTTTTCTTTAGTGGGGAGAGACCAATATGTCATTATGGCTTTTATTTAAAAAAAAAAAAAAAAAAAAAACCCATTGACAGTTTTTAAAGGGGAAGGACTGCATTATGTCAATAGACCAGTTTGTAACTGGAGATGTGTAGCCAGAAGGCTGCTTCTGTTGGCCTACATAGACTTTGGATGGAATTCAGCTCCCTGAAAGCATGACAAAACTGACTTCAAGAGCAACCTCAAAACATTCCTCTGTAGCTCAGCACAGGAATCTCTTCAGTGAGGAGGAGACATCTTCTCCATCTCTCTGTCATAACAATATGAAAATCCATGCTGACAGTTTACAAGGGGCAAGTAATAACCTGTGCTTGCTGCCTGAGGAATACAGTCTTTGATTTAGGAAGATTTTTCTTTTTGTCAACGGTGATATTGGTCTTTCCCTCTATTCTCTTTTTATTGCAGGGTAACTCTTAACTAAAGGATGGTAGGTCCATACTTGAGCCCTCAAACATTTAGACAGCATGTTTGTGTGTGTGTAGGTGTGAATACACAAGGAAAACAACAACCAAAAAGTAATTTTCAGGATAGTTTTTTACAGCTGTATGAAATAAATGGGTAGTACACAGTTTAGATGATTCTTGATAGGGCAAATCTGTTCTGATGACAATTGAAATGCCAGTGGCATTGGCTGCTATCTATGAAAAGGCAGCTGATACCTTAGAACTGAATTCAAAAGCAGCTTTGCTGATGGCCTGTTTTGATGTTACAATTTATCTGCTTTAATTAATCCAGTATTATTAGTATTTTGTCACTTCCCTCTTTTCTGCATCAATAATCTCTGTGTAACAAGATGTGTTTATGGTCTTTGTCTAGACATGAGTAGTAATCACCACAGCAATAGCAGAAAAATCAGAATTTTTTTCTTAAAGGAGGGACTAACAGGAGGTGGAATGGATAAGACAGCAAGTTATCTGAATAATTATTAGCACAAATGTATAGTCTGAAAAAAATGTTTTTTGTCCTTGTACAAGTTAATACTAATTTAGAAACTGGATAATGAATCTGTAGGACAAAGAATATGGTTAGCATACAAAGAACTGTCTTTATTATATTTCACTAAGAGTTATCAGCTGTTTTTTTACACATATATTGGCAGGTTGCTTACAAAACATAGCTTTCATCTGATACCAATTTTACTGTAACTTTATACAAGCTAACTTAGGTTAAGGGTGAGAAACGTCTGCAGAATACTAAGAGGACTTCTGTTCAAATTCACTGTACAAAGTAGGTGGATGGGAGGGAATGCAAGTTGGAAATTCCTGTTAAGAGTGGAATTAATATTGAAGCATGATAGGAGACTCCGCATAGTGTTACATCCTGGCTAAAAAAAGAGTTCCTGTAATGCTGGCAGAAGCAATGGTAACGTGGTCTTTCAGTCTTGATAATTGTCTCTGAAGACTCCTTGTGCCATTGCCTCTGATACTGGTATTTACTTCATGGCATTAAAAAAAGTCTTCTGTTTCCTGCATTTGCTCTCTCGAATTTCAGTCTCATACTGTGTTCTTTAAGCAGGATGTGAGGGAATGGTAGCTTGCACTTCAGTTTAGTCAGCTAGAATCCTGACAGGCTTATCCTGACAGAATCCTAGACAGTAAATGTATCATTATAGATCTGCCAAGATCACTGAGAAACTTTAGCTTAGGCCCTGAAATAATTTGAATACACTCTTAACACAAGACTGCAGTTCCTATTTATTCTTTGCTATATTCATAATAAGCTAAGTGCTGTAGCTGAACTTAGTAACAGCAGTGTCTTACCAGTATGCAAGCTGATCTCTTCTCCTCTCAGCTCACCACTGTTTCTCACACCAGGCACCACCTGTAATGGCATATCCTGCCACAACGCCAACAGGAATGATGGGCTATGGGATGGTGAGTGCAACTCCTCAACCTCAAAGCCAGATGCTTTGGATCATTTCATTACTTATAGTTTGGTAGCAGTTCATTTCCTGAGTTATTTTGCTAAAGACTGAATTCCAGCTCCTAATGGTGGATTTCTCACCAAATCATTAAGCTCTTTAGTAATTTTGGACTGAAATTGAGTCTGCCCTTTCTTACCTCAGTTTTTCATAAACTTTTTAAAATTAAGACAATGTCTACTCCTGATGCACTTTATTAGTGTAGAAATAAGTGAATCATAGTAATAAGTGAATATCACATGAGCAGACGTAGCTACATGCACAGCACGAATGTTTTATTGGTGAAAAGAAACAGTCCTTAAATACTTGCTCACAACCTCAGGACAAAGTATTTTTAAGGACTGATGCTACAAGACTGCAAGTCTGTGACACTGCCTTGTGTCCTGTGGGCTGCAAATTGGCTCTCCTAGTGACACACCAGTACCAGAAGGCTTTTGACATTAACCTAACCTTGCTGCTTGTTGCCCTGAAAACTTGTACAAATGTTTGTTCTTAACTCAAATTTTAAAATGTTTCTGAAATTACATGCCTTTGTTAGTACAGTTTTGATGTGGCACAGCTTTGGTAGGGAATAAAAGGGGGGAGAATTTACTGAATGTTTGTGTTAAATGGCTTACAGATCACTACAATAAAAGGCTAAATGCCTCACCATATAGATTAATGATTTATAATTTGTATGTGCTCAGTAAGTGAACTGCACCTGTGGCCACCTGTGATTTTGAGAGTCTTTGAGAGAGTATCTCATTGCCCTTTGTCCACCCATGAACTCCTGTAGTATGTTCTGTGCAAAGTCAGTGTGGTCAAGCTGCCTCTAGTGTTGATTCAAACTTTATCTATGCAACTTTGCACTGATGGTACTGGAAGCATTTTCTTAGTTATATTGATTCGGCAGCTGGGGAGGGTAACAGATTGGAGTATAGAAAGTAATCTTGTGTGTTTGATTAAATCAGCTTTCATCATTAGGCTGATATGAAATGGAAACTGGAATTAGTAGAAGCCAGAGCTCTGTTAATCTGAGCTGCTGCTGCTTGTTTAAAACTGCAACACCCAGGCAGGTGGGCAGCATGGTCTGTTACAGAATGACCAGGAGGCTTTGCAACATGTCCTGAGTGCTGTCCTGACTCCTTCAGACTTGACTCAGGACCTTTACTGCTAGGAACCTGTGAAACGTTGGCCTATTTTACAATCTCCTTTGTGTTCAGTTTTCCTAAATTCCTGCCCTAGTTGTGAGCACAACCATTTTGAAGTTACAGACTTTTCCCTTGGTGAGGGCATCCTGGGACAGGCAGTTTTGCTAGTACTGTAGCATTCCCTGGCTGCTGGTTGCTGTGTGTGTGTCTGCATTGTACCAGCAGCTATTTTTAACTTTTTTGTAGCGTGTTTTCATCAGGGTCAGTTTCTTGAATGGGTTCATCATTTGATTGCCCAAACAGCTGATTGGCATGATAAGGGAGGAGTAGCAGGATTAGTCCAGGAAAAGCTGTTTGGAATGGGGATTGCTTCAGTAGGACTGCTGTTGGGTATCAAGCTAAGCCTAAGAAGGGTGCCAAAAGCAGCACCAGCAGTGGGCATCTTCATAAATTAAATAAACCTGACTTCTAAGTCCATTAGCATATGTTAAATTGTTCATTTGGCTCAGAGTGTCAGTAACACTCAAGACTTTGATTGCATCACAACTTAACATGAATTGGACATAGAGTTCTTAATTTGTCTTGAACTCTGTCAGCTCTGCCTTGATACCTGTGAAACTCTCCCTGTGCTTTCAAAGGCAGACAGGGCAGGGCTGCCAGACCTCAGCAGGGAACACGAGGACCAGCCCAAATGCTTGCGTTTCAACAAGTACTTCAGTGTGTCAGCTCTTTGCAGCAAGAGATTTAAATGGGCTCAGTTTTTGCTAAGAGTATTCCTTAAAAAGGCTCTAATGTTCCTTTCTAGTAGCCTTTATTTGCAAAATACTGTAGGAAGATCTTAAATGATTGCACACATCACCTATGACCAAAACTTTTCACCCAATTACCATTTTTCTTTCTCTCCTTAAACACTTGCCCTCTATTACTGCTGTGTGTGATTTGATGTTGTCTGCATTTTTTTCAGCCGTCGCAGATGGGAGCCATACCAGTAATGACACAGCCAACTTTAATATACAGTCAGCCAGTCATGAGACCACCAAACCCTTTTGGCCCTGTACCAGGAGCACAGGTGTGTACATTCCAAATAATTGGTTTTAGTAACAGATCGCAGCTGGGCCAGTTGCTTTAAAAACACTTGAATATTTTCTCATGTTGGGCAAATGCATTGCACAAGCTCAGAGGTTCATGTAAGGATTGCTCCCTAGGTGCTTGTATTCAGGTTTGGTTTACAGAAGCAAAGAGGATAGTGTTTTAAAGCATTGTTTGTCTGGGAATGTGGCTGAGGTTATCCTCAACACTTCAGGGCAAGGATAAGAGTCAATGTCTGTGCTGTGTGCTGGAGGCAGACTTCTTCCCCAAGTTTGCATTCTCTGCTGCTTTACCTCATAAGTGCAGCTTTGTGGGATCATGCTACTAGAGCCTTTTGTGAGGTGCCTGTGGCACTGATCTTTGACCTGTTAGGATGGAAAGAATGAGATTATAAAGTAACCAAGTGCAGTAGATGTAATTTTATTTGAAGTGTAAGGTGCACACTTCTATGATGGCACTTTGCAGGGACAGGGTGTAGCTGTAGCCTCTTAAGTCTATGAAAGTTACAGATGGGTTTGAAAATGTGGTGTTGAACCTGGTGAAACTTCAACCCAACTCCTGGTTATTAGTATGACCAGTCTCGAGGGGAGGCACGTGGCATGTTCATCTAATTTTAATAACCCTTGTATTCCCCAAGGGTCTTTATACTCTTCTGTGTTTTTGCAGAAAACAGTATTTTCAGCATAGTGAAGATACTGAGATCATTAAGAGTTTGTTGTGTTTGTGAACTGTAATTAGAGGTAGAGCCCAGTGTAGCTGGCAGGTTTGAACTCCAGTATTAACAGTGTGGTTTTACTTAATAGTCAAATGTTTCATTGTCAAAGGTCATACTGTACATTATGACTCTGCTAGAAAAATATAATGTATTTGGACTGTATTTTGATCTTGCTATAAAGAGCAGTATCTTTATAGGTGACTGTTTAAAAATGTGTTTGTATAACTTAAGTATATGTTGGTGTAAGTGTGGTTTTGGAACTAGAACGGGGAGGGAAAAGAGCTCAGCAGTAGGTTGGAAAAGAAAAAGGTTCAAACCTTTCTCCAATGCCTGATCTGATCCTTTATCAGGAGAGGCTATGCTGTGTGCTGCCAGTGGGCACAATGTCCTTTTTCTTCACAAAAATAGATGTTATAAAATTATTTTTCTTAAAGGCTTTATCTGAAAGGGACCCTGTTTGATGCCTTTAGCTAGAAGTGCAGTTTTCAATTGACTTTCCCTTGGGCTTCTGAGACCTGCTTTGCACATTCACTCTCACTTCAGACAAGTGATTTTCCATCTTTCATGTGGGTTTTATACTATTTCAAGGGAGAAAAATGTGTTTGTGACACCTCTTAAATAGAGAAGTTAAAGGATGAGAGTTTTTTTCTCCAATTCCCAAAATACAAATTTTGAGCTATCCCTTAAAAAAAATTCTGCCTCCCTGCCTAATTCAGCTATAAAGAGGTAGGTAGGTCTGGGTAGCTAGGTGAGCCTTCCTGCTCCATTTCACATTGCAGGGCTTGGTCTAGTTTGAATCCCAGCTGGCTGTCATAACAGGAGAGAGAGGAATTAGTCACAAATGAGGTGTGTAGAGCTCTATTTATTGTGCTTATTTGGCTGTATGTTTGGCTCCTGGGAGAATTAACTTGACAGAAGAAACGCCCTTTGAATCAGCAGCTGCTGGATGAGCAGGAAGGTGGTCTCTCCCCGAGACAGTCTGCATTGCAGGTGTTGAGCTTTCACAAGTCTTGACACCAAGAAGGCAACTGAAATAAAACAAAGGCTGCATGTGAGAGCTGCTTCCCTAAACACAGCAGACATGGCATTTACTAACAGCCAGGGAGGGGAATTTCAGTATATTGCACTGCAGTTACTGTATGATTAGTCTTGAGGTTCTTCTGGGAACATATTTGTCTGGTTAGGTTTAGTTCATAATTCCTGTTGTGCCAGAAATAGAAATTGGAAAAGAAAGAGAAAAATGTGCATTCTTACTGTAAGTAAACAAATCTTAAAGTAAGGTATAATGGTTATCTGAAAGGCACAGAACTCAATCTGCCTGCATCCCATCTGGATCACTCTAAACACCACTATTATCACTGCCAGATAGTAAATTTGTTTTTAATATTTACATTTAAAGCACCAGATCTTGGTTGCTGCCTACAGCAAAGACTTGAAGTGCTTAAATACTAGAAGGTACTTAAAAGCATAATGACAGATACAAAGCAGCTGCTGAAAATCCTATTGCCAAGTTGTAGGTTTGGGAATGCCTCCTACTTTGTACGTAGGCTGCTAAAATAGGCACCCCAATGTTGTCCAGTTTCTTGGCAATTTCAACTAATGTTCCTACCTTGATACTCTTAGGGATTTGTCATAATAAATATACTTTTCCTAACTCTGGACATACCTATTTTGCCTCTCTTTCACGTGTTCTGTTTACATGCATGCAACTTGATTTCTAATTGTTTATGTCAAAAGCAAGGCTAATTTGGTTTCTTAAGGGCAAAATAATTTGAAACAATTGAGAATGAGACTTCATTTTTAACAAGACGTGCTTCTTTGAAAATCCAGGTATTCAGAGGATAGTTGTAGATTCAAGTGAAACTGATGTGTGCCTTTTTTTCTTTGAAATCACTTATCTTGCATTAGGGTTAAGATTTTTCAATTCAGAGAAAATAAGTCTTCATTATGATAAAATAGCAGGCTTTTCTCACTGCAGAATATTACATCCTGCCACCCAAGACAACGAGAACAATCAGAGTTCCGTGATTAAGTTTTAGCTGATAGGGGGTAGAGTGTGTGTGTGAGGAAAGAACAGGCTGAATCAACGGTCCCAAAAAGGTTAAAGAGCAGCCAGAGTGATGGAAGATGGGATACTGTACAGCAAACACAGGGTATTCCAGAAAAGCGGAGCTGAGTGATGTACAGGTAACTGGAATGTATCTACCCCAGTGTCGTAACACCCCACAGCAGTACTTGAATATTCACCACCATCAAAACCATTCTCATGTTGGCTAGTATGAAATGCTACAATACTGACAGGTGTGTGGTAGGCTTCAAGTGTTCCGTGTTTTGGTCTGATTGTCCCCAAAAGGACACAGCCTTAGGAGGAGAAGCAGCTGGGTAGGGAAAATTTTAAGATTTAAAATAGAATAAAAAAGTACTGGGCCTGCTGCCAGCATCTGTGTGAATGGTAACCCTGTGGTTGGTAACGTCACTGAATTGTACAGGAAAAGTAGTAGGAGTGATTGTCTGGTGATGGTGAAGAATAGTATGTTGGGGTTTTTTGTTTGGTGGGGTTTTATTCTTATTTGAAACTGGGGAAGAACAGGCTCTGAAGTTCAGGACAGACTTACGCCAGAAGGTAGAGGTTATAGGTGCTCCTTTTGGCACATGGATCCTAAAATATAAGCTAAAACAGCTTGTGAGACTTGTAAAATGAGAACACAGTATCTAGCTCATGATGGGAACCAGCACAATACTGACTTACAGGACATGGGTTCTTCTGTCTTACTGTGACTCTGGGGAGTTTTTGTCTCTGGTGGGAGCAGTGAGCAGTGGTGACTGCTGCTGGAGGTGACACTAAGCTTTGGGCCTGATCCATCACAGGACATTGCTTTTCATATCATAAAAGTGCTGGGCAGTAAGGAGACTAAACCCACAGCTCTAGGACTGCTGGAGATACTGGTGGCCAGTGCTGCTGTTTTAAATGCTTCTCCTTAGAAATTGCCAAGGTAGGTTCTGGTTTTCAGATGTATTTATACTTTCCCCAGTTTTAGGCCTCCTTTTTAATAATTAGAGGAATCTTGTTAATATGTATTTACTGCAAGGTACTGAGCCTTGTCTGAATTTGGCTGTGGCATCTAGGAAGTAGCATTGTCAAGTTCTTAATGTTTAACTGAACAGGCTTCCTAAAGTTTCACCTGTTTCTGGTTACATGCTGGTGTTGCACAAATGACAGAGCTCTAAACCTGCCAGTCTTCCACACTGCTTTCAAACTGGGACATTGCATTGGACTTGATATATCAATTGGAGATTTGCCAACTCAATTTAACAGGACTTTTAATATATGACTTCAAGCCATTTGACCATGAAGAGGAAGGATGTCTCATGAGGTGAAGTCACAGCAGGTGTGCCTTCCTGGAGTCAGGACTCTGTTGCCATGAGTCTGGCACAAATCCTGGAGAGTGGTGGGGTGTGTGAGCTACAGCTTTCCAAAGGGAAGAACCAAGTTTCAGAGGAAAACTTCTGACATCCTGAAACTGCTTCTCAGGCACTTTCCATTCTGTCTCATGACTCTTCCATAATCTGCTTATGGGGACTGGGTTTGAGTGCCCCTTTGGGAGTGGAGTTTAAAGATTCCAAGCCAGACAGAGAGTACTGATCCTGAAAGAACTCCTTCCTCCCCCACACCTGGTTTCTGAGGTAGAGACATTAACATGAAAAATTTAAATTTGCAATGGCAATATTTACCTTCGGTACTTCTGCAAGCAGTTCCCATAAGCATATTCCCTGTCACACTAGGCTGGCAGGCATTCAGGATTGCCAAAGGAAACATCTTCACACAGTGTTTTTTGCAGTGGGTATGAAGTGCAGGTGTGCACTGGTGGTTAGTGACTCAATTATGAGTAAACTGCTAAAAGAGATGGACCCTGAGGAGGAGGGTGACTTTGACTTGTAACCTCAAAAATAAAGTTTTATGAAGGGGGAGGGCAAAGAGAATTTAATAAAGCACCACTTATAACTGGGAAGGCACTAACCAAAGAGGAAAATGGCTAAAAAAAGAACAATCCACAAATAGCAGATACTCCTGCAATTAGAGCCTGCAGATTATTGCTCCCTTCCAGCAGCAGGCACCAATATTACATACTTGTAAATTACATACTTTCTATGGCTGAATTTGTAGTGTGGTGCTTTACAAACATGGCTATAGGATGTGATTTTTGTTAGCGCATAGACTGTCAGTCCCAGTCTTCAGTTCTCAACTAAACCAGCAGCAGCAGACAAACTTCCATCTCTTTTTTTTTTTTCACAGTCTGTGTCCTGTATTCTCCTTCTAGGCCCCAAATTGAGAATTATCCATTACCTGCTTTCCAGACTCCTTTTAAACACGTCCTATTTTGAGAGGAAAAGGCGCTGAGAGCTGTTTCTTCTGGAGAAGGCATCTGGAAAGCTTGGCCAGGCCCCCAGCCTCATCTCTCCCTGCCAGGAGAGCTGGGAGAGTGTTAACCTGTTTCACAAGAGCCAGGCTTCATGTTTTGTAGCTTTTGAAGAAAACTGCTGTGAAAGTGTGAGGTGATCTGCTTATTTGGCAAGTGCCTGTTGAACTTTCCTTTCTGGAGGGTCGTGTCCAGCTTGTTTCTGCATTACACCAACCATTGAAGAGGCTTTCTGTTTTCCATATGACCAAACACCTTGTTTTAATAGTTGATTTCTGCCAAGTTTGCCTCTTAACTTCCCCTTGCCCTTTCATGACACGTTCAGCTTTCATATTCTGTCATTCTGAGACCTTTTTTCTTTTTCTTTCCCTTTCTCTGTCGTCTTTCCTACTAGCTGTCTGCAGCATCCAGCCCTTCCAGTCAGAGTCCTCACAGAGCCTCAGGAAAGGATCCCTTTGCAGAGCTCTCTCTCCAGGATTTCTTGTAGAACAACTTAGGTATTGTCCATTGTTCTGGGGAGATGCTATTTTTTTTGTGATACGGAACAAAATTAAAGTCCGAATTAAAGTTGATTAATGTGACTAGAACTGTTTCTGAAGAAAACAATAAAAACGAGTCATGTTGAGTTGGAAGCATTGTGGAAGTGGCTTGGAAACTCAGTGTGCTTAACTGCAGTGATGTAGAGGCCCAGGCAAGTCATGTTGCTTTAATCCTTTGGAAATAAAGTTTGATAGTTCCCTTCTGAGCTGCAGGAGCCAGAAGGTGGTGCTTCCTGCAGCTGGGGAGAAGGAGCTGGTACTACCTGGTATTTCCTATTTCATCAACAAAACGTGTAGGGCTTGTGGTTAGCAGTGACCACTGTTTGCAGCTGGCATGGGCTCCTGCACCTCACCTGACTGCCTGCTAAAAAGTGAACTTTATGCAGCAGGAGGTTCTTGGTTTCATGTGTGTGAGGGTTAAATTTTGGTGACAATACTGTGTGGATAAGTAGGTTGTGTTTTGTTTTGTTTGTTGTTTTACTTTTGTTGGACAAAGCAGCTTAATGCAAAGAAATGTTCCAAAGGTTGGTGTAGTTGGAAAAACATCCTGGTGGCTTTTGGTTGTTTTCTGCCCCTGATTTTATAAAATTTTTGTTTGTTGGAAACTTCAGACCTGGGAGTAGCCTGGGCATCTAAAGAATGGTAGGGTTTTTTTGCAGAAAACACTAGTTTATAGGGAAGTCCCACTTCTGTTGGATGTTAACATGAGGGTTTTTAATCTTTCCAGATTCAGTTCATGTAACTGTGTTAGATGGAAGAGAAAGGAACGTTTCCAAAAAGACGTGCTCACTTGGTGAACCCCCACTTCCAGGAAAGAAAACCAACTCCAGTCTCTCGAGCTCTCCTTTTCCTTTAAATGATGCAGTGAAGTGATGAAGATCAATGAAGGAACCTGGGACAACTCCGTAAGAAAAAATCAATATACAATACAAAGCCAAGAATTGCTGTGAATTAAGGCCAAGATCTACTCTTTGTCCTGGTGACTTAACACGTCAACACTTTCAGCTTCTAATAATATCCATAATTGGTGGCAAACACACAAAGAGAAGCCTTTATTCTGGAAATCGGGATTGGTGTTTGGAAATGCTGTCTGGAATGGAGAGGTGTCCTTTACCATAACTCAAGACTCTGGGCAGGGGAGGGTCAAATCCTAACTCTTAATTCTGCAGTTACCTTTTCTTCACTCCTCACAACCCATAGGCACAGCAGTAATGGAAATTAACTTTTTTAAAAAATGATATATTCAGTTTGCAGTAGACATTCCTTATGTATTATTGTTTGTATTTATTTATGATTATCAATTTAACATTAATATTGTATCAAGAAAAAAAAAAACAACCTCCTTATGAAAATGGGTATGGATGTATACAGTATGTCTGATTTTTATCCACAAAGAATGAATCTGATTCAGAATGCTTTCCAGCTGACATACAGAGCACTAAATATTTTAAAGGTCTGAATCTCATGAATTCTCAGTATATATGGGAATTAGGGAAGAGCTGTAAAATGCATTAATCCTTATAGTCAATTCTGTGCCTAGGATTTTGCAAGGGAACAGTTAACTGACTAGAAGAAGCACTACATTTTTAATTCAGCATTAGTGGATTGGGAAGGAACTCTATTGCTTTGTGCTTGGCATGTCATTATTTTTACATTTGACATTATAAGGCCTTTCCAAAATGAATGTGAGGAATTGCTTTCACTTTAAGACTTTCCTTCTTTTCTGTAAAAAAAAACAACAAAAAACAACAAAACCAAACAACTGAGGTGTTGTGTGTTGGGGGAAAGCCTTTTCATTTGGCTAGTGCCATGTTTATGATCACATACCTTTTAAAAGTAAAAATAAAAGAGGGGAAGTAGCTTCCTTAGGTATGTCTAGTGGGTATTTAGTTAACAAAGAATTAAAGTAGCACTGTTGATCGGTGCTTTGTGTAAATACATCATCACTCTTGGTTGGAGTGGGGCCTTTGGGAGGATAGTCACTGATATGAAAGCAATTCTGTACATGAGTTAAGCATACTTGCTGCATTGTCTCTGCAGATTCTATTTTTGTTTAAAATATTAAAATGTACGTTAGCAAAAATGGGTGGATTTTCAAATAAAAATGCAGCTTCCACAGAACTTTTGTTACGGTATGAAAGTCTGAGGTGCGTCTTTTCTTTTTGCTGCTTAAAATGTGCACTGATAATTGCTTTGTTTACTTAATAAAATACCAAATGTATTTCATATGTCCATATTGTATTGCAGGAGGTGCAGCACTGTGAGTGACATGATCTGTACAACATCTTCCCCTTGGTGCTGTAGTTGATGGCCTTAGTTCCTCTGTAATGAGTTGTCTCATTAAGAGCTGGATTCCTTAATATGGTATTTCACAATCTTCTAGTTTTTCAAAATATTCATGGCAATAAACTTGTACTGTTTATAACTGAGCAAGAAGCATAAATATGCCTGGAAAAAACCCACTATTTAGGTATCTTTCCTAATCTTCCAGTGGAAGGTAATGCTGGAGAAGCTTTGAACAGTTTGCTGAGACAATTAACTGCCATTAGATGCTAGTTTTCATCACACGGAAATGTGATAGAGATGGAATTTTCCTCCTCTTAATCACCCCCAGCTTGTCCTGAAGGGTGTACATCATAAAATGATCAGTAGATCTAAAATTTCTTTCTAAAAGTATGAATAAAAAAACCCTGAACTTGTCACTTTCGGAGCGTGTAGAGACCATGCCCAGATCTGGGGAGTTTCATGCACAATTGACTTAAAACTTTACCTCCCTCCAGCTGAGGTTTTCAGTGTGGAACTGTACCACAAGAGAACAACTTCATGTTAGTTGGAAATGTCTGAATTGGGGATCAGCTGGAAAGAAGATGCACAGCTGTGTCCTGTTACTTGATTGGTAACTACCAGGGTACACGTTGTTCTGAAACACAGTCCAGAGCTTGTGTGAAAGATGAAGGTGGACCTTCCTTTTCCTCCCCCAGAGCCCAGTGTGCTGGGTTATGATAAAAACAGACACCAGCCTTGTCATCTGTTTAGGTCTGGTGGGGGTTTCACTCTCTGTTTCAAGACTATTGACTGAGGAGAGACCTGCTTGCTGAGGTCTTTTTGATCCCTTGCATGACTTGAGGTTGCATGTGATGCAGGTGCCAAAATCCCACCTCTTCTGCAGGGGTGAACTCTTCATCTGTTTCCTTCACCCCTCACACATGGTTGCTCTGTGTTCTTCAGCACAGCTGCTGTGCAGGTTCAGCTTTATTGGTGGAGGCCTTCAGAGACATCCTGGCCTGAGATTTTTCCTGAGGATTATTTTCCCATTTACTTTTTTCCTAGTATGTTTGCCTTCAGTATTGCTGGGACAACAGTTGTAGCTTAAGTTAAAAACTATAAGTCACAGACGTGTTTCTCTTGAATTACTGAACATTTTAAGTAATGGGGGTGGTGAAAAGCTGGTTCCCCTCAGAACTAAGTTGAAAGGCTGTGCAATCTAGAAGAGCAAAGTCTGTCCAGGAAAGCTGCCTGCCTAGCAAGCAGGGGAGGAGGAGGTAGTGCTTCCTTAGTGGGCTGCACTTCCTTTTAGATATTTCTAAAGGAAACCAGTGCATCAGAGTTGTCACATTTTTAAAAGTATTTCTTTAATCAGAGAATTACATAAATAAAAAGCAACTGGCTGGTTGTGAGACAATTAACTTATCAAAACAAGAACCTGAACAGCTAATAACTTCAGGTGTTTTATAAGGGCCCAAACGTAGAATCTCATCTGAAGACAAAATCTGACTTCTCTGCTGCTTCTTCTGTTCTTTGTTTCAGACTCACAAACTAAATTGACCTGTTCTGTGCAGCAAACTGGCACTGGCTCAGGAAATGTTTAAAATCTGTCTTTGCACAACTTGACATGGTATCAGATGGTCTATTAGACCAGCTCCCTGAGTAAGTCACAGACTCTCCCAGCTGCTAAACAGCCCTTCAGCAAGAAGAATGGATAAGGTGAAACCCTGCATCTTTCTTTAGGCAAGAAGTGCCTGTTCTCACAGCCTGGTCTAAAATTTGTAGCAAAATAAATTAATTGCTCCTTGAAGGCCATGACAAAGCTGAGATAAGAATTGGGGCAGAAAAAAGGTGAATCAGGAGCCAAAAACACTGGGAGAGACAGGAAATGTTGATGGGAGCAGAAGATTGATAAGATAATGGAATGGGTAGTGGAGAAATGTGCTAAATACGGAAGAAGAGCTGATGTTAATGGGAGCATATTTAAACTAAGGAAGAGCTTTCTCCTTGATCTTTTGACCTGACCTTTGCAGCTCACACTGCTGTGGGGAGAGCAGAATCAGTCTTGGCATCTTTTGCTGAATTTGCCCAACAAAAAAATCTGTGAGATACTGATGTTCTCCCTGCTGAAACTGGAGAATGAAGGGACTTGGCAGGTTAGTGTGCTATGTCCTGGCTAGATCAGGAGAATGAGGGAGGAGGGGAGAACCCTGAGCTGGTTTCCCTGAATGTGTAATGTTGCTGCCACCCACTTGGCGCCCTTTTGTGTCTGTTGGCTAACTACTCCATCCATTTCTCTTGTGGAAGATGACTTGCCCAAGATAACAGATCTGTGAGGTGAGTAAAACACATTGCTTCTTTTCTTGCTCCTCTGCTGATGAAATTTCCTGAGGCAAAGATCCAAAAGCCTTGGAACAAACAGCCAACTTCCTTACAAGTTGTGCTGTGTGAGCTGATAATGGTACTGAAAATGTGTTGGATGCAGCCCATGGCTCTGGGTGTTGGGCGGCTGCCGTGCAGGAGGAGACCTGAGGACTTGAGTTTGTTTTCATAGCCTGGATCTCTGCTGTGCTCACAGTGGTAACCGCTGGACTTTTCCGTGCCAGCTCCAGCAGCTCCCCAACTATTGTTTTTCTAGAAAAGCATTATTTGAGAGCATTTTGGCCTCTTACTGCACTTTACTTGCTAAAAGTGAGGAAAAGCTTCAGCACCCTGTGAAGTCCCCGTTTTCTGTCGCCCAGTGGAGATGCTTGATGGGCCACATACATGAACAGTTGTTGGCATCTTGCTACTGTGTCACATCCTAGAACAAGGTGGTGTTTGTGGCAATCTGCAGGACACGAGCTCCCAAGTGTAGCTTTACACAGAAACATCCTCACTTTTACAGAGGACTCAAAATCCAAGGGAGAGTCTTTTTCAGAGGAACATCCAGCTGCAGAACATCAGTGGCCTAAGATGCTAATACTGTTAGATCCTCTGTTCCTTGCTTGTCTCTGTAGTGTAACGTTTCAGTCCATTAGCTCCTGCCTTGACCTTATTGTGGTTAACTCCCTTTAGCCCACAGAAGCAGAGCATTTAATAACTTCTCTCCCTGAAAGCAGCCAAACAAGAACAAACACTGCAGAACAAGTCTCCTGCCTTCAGTTCCCAAAACATGCAGGTCTGAACCTGTGGAAAGATTGGTTATATAACCTAGCTGCAGCCAGGGCTGCAAACCTTTCAAAAAACAGGCCAAAGTTAAGTAACCTACATTCTCAGCAGCTCAGGCTTGCACAGCCAGATGATAAAGCAATATAGTCCAGTTGCTTGACTCGACAGGGAAGTTGCTCAGAGAGGGTTCAAAGCAGCAGTGTGCTGAGGTGAGCAGCTCCTCTGACCAGCTGAGTGGCCACAGGCTGGCAGTACAGCAGTACACCACACTTCATTGTGCTTCCTGGGCATCTGATGGGATTGCTGTGTCTCAGTTCCAGCAGCATGTGGACTTGAGCTCTAGTAAAATGTCTTATTACCACACACTTGCAACTTGAGTGATGCTCTTATTTCTTTAACTTTGAATTTCCAGTGAATGTGTGAAGTTTTTTTTTCCCTGTTGATAAGTTTTAGAGGTTTGGACCTCCAGCTCAATGAAGGCTTTGCTTGGATTATGGTTGTGGGGATTCAAGGACACTTCTCTGCATCTTGTAACCCAACTAGTGTCCTACAGCTGTCTTGTGATACAGAAACACAGTAAAGAAAAGCTGTGCCATAATGCTGGGTATTTAAGTTTTGTCCTAACTGGAGCAGTCATCCCTGACTCCCAGTGTTCCAGGAGGAGCTGGAAGCACTAGCCATGCTGCCAGAAAGCAGACTCATCAGCCCCTCTGTTTTACATGTTGCACATTTCTGAAAGTTTTGCCAGTAACTAAAGTATCAAATCGAGATGCCTCAGTTGCTACAGACCTTGGTTTCTCCATATAAAAGCCTCACACAAGCCTTAATATTAATCCTATAGGAATCAAGGGTCTTTGGGACACTTCACTAAACATGTTTTGCTACAGGATGTGTTGCTTCTGGCTTGTGCAGGCTGCCTGTGGCTTGTATCCTAATTAGCATAGCTCAGATTTCTTTTTAACTCCCTCTCACCCACACAGGCATTTATGGTAAAAGGCTGAACAGTGACTTCAAGAGGCAAGTTGTTTTTTTTTCCAAGGTACCAGGTCATGTTGTCTTGCCATATGTCCTGCACATGGCAGCATGCATTATGGGCATATGCAAAGAGAGGCATGGAGATGGGCCCTACAGTGACACAGCCAGGAAATGTAACTGCCCCTGGAGAGCTATGGGAAGAGGAACAGGTCTTTCTGTAACTGAAAAGCTGTTCAGCAGAAGTCATATTCTAATTCTTAGACTAAACGAGGGGCTAAACTAGTCTCTGAGCAGAACTAATCTGTCTTTCAAGTAACCTGTTTCATGGGGCTTGGTCTTCCCTCAGGGAAAGCCCGGCTTCTGTGGTGCTGCAAACATGACCTCCTCACATGTATAGATCCCCATTTGTGGCACTCGAGTGCTGGGAGCCACCACAGCCTTTGGGGTAACTCAGTTGCGTTACAGCAAGGACACATCCAGACTCATGTAACTGCTGCATGGCACCTCAAGTGAGATGCAGGCTGAGATGAAGGCCTCTAACCATCTTCACATGGCTGCTTATGATCCTGGGTTCTGAGGAGCTGCAGTCAGTGGAGCCCAGAAAAGTGGTCAACTCACCCATGACCCAAGGAGACACTTATTGGGCATCAATATGTGAGCTCACTTGAAAAATGTTTGCACTGAAGTACAGGATGAGACCCCATGGAGACACAGGTTGTTTAAAATGTTAAAAGTTTAAAAAAAAAATATTTTCTCCAAAGAGCTGGCTGACTTGTCAAGGGTTTAAATCCGATGATTCAATGCTGTCACAAGTGTCTAGATGGGAAATGGGTAGGTCAGAAGCCTACCTGGGCCTGCGGGAAGTAACTGCATTGGGTGCTCCTGACAGGGTGTCCAGGACATGCAATCAGAGGGGAGAAAACCCCACTGAATCAATGCCTTAGGATATAGATATTCACAGGGAGTAGCCACAGACCAAAGATACAGGGTGACACAACACATCTGGACAATTCTAAAAACAATACAAATATTTAAGACACTGATGTCTTTTTTGTCTGTTTGGGTTTGGTTTTTTTTTTCCAATTAATTATTGGTTATTTCAATATATTTAAGAAGGGGGTTTACAGAGCCAGATAAAATGCATTCAGTTGCCTGCAACAGTTGGATCATGCTTGGATAGATTGGAGTCTGCATTAGCAGAGTATTAGCATTTTGTAATGGGTCTACATTTCCCAGCATCCCACATTTACCCATTCCATGTCTGATCAGGAGGGAACTCCACATTTGACAGACTGCAAGTGAGGACCACAAAACCCAAATATTAACCCAGATCCTTTAGTAGATCTGTGTGTAGCTACTTGGATAGAGAAGCCCAAGAAGTGCACAAGAGTTCTCAAAGTGGTAAGGAAAGCAATCTTTCAATGAGCCATCTGCACACGTACACACCTCTCATTAAACTTGTGTGTTTAAATGATCTGGGCACTCAAAAATAGTTTCCACAAAGCCCAGTGCCACACACTTCCTGAAGAACAGAGCAAATATTTAAAGGACTGAGACTGTCACATTTCTAAGTTAACAGCACAGTTCGTCTATTTTTAACTAACCTCTTCTTCAGATAAGGCCTTGATCATCCGAGCTGTGATGTGCCTGCCTGATGTACCAGCTTCCTCATAGCTCACGTAGTCTGCATCTTCATGAACAGGCATGGTTCTTCCAACCACACACAGTAGCCTTGTATCCACAGGACCCAGTTTTAAATATTCCTTAAGAAGAGAGAATATTACTCTGCAATTACATCAAAAAGCAGCTGTTCTTAAAAAAACAAACAAAAAAACAAACAAACAAAAAACCCCACAACAAAAAAAACCAGTAGCTTTCCTTTTAAAAGCAACTGTAAAGTTGCTGCGCTGGGGTTGCTGTGTTTGGCAATGTCAGAGTTAACAGGCCTGGCTGCCCACTTCTTTCCCTGTGTGTTTTCTCCAGTAAGACTTTCTCTGCAAACCAACTTCTACTTCCAACTTCAGTTCTGTGAGAAGAATTAAACTAATTCAACAGCTCACTACTGCCAAAAAGAGAGAAACAAGTACAGCCATGTGCTCCCACCATGTCTGTGCTGGCTCTGGCCTCCTCCAAACCTGTGAGTCAATGTGGTTGACTAACCCAACAGAAAACTATTTCAGGAGGAAAAAAAAAAAACAACAAAAAAACAAGCTTTTCTGCTGGGTTAGTGAGTGAATCAGCTGCAGAAAAGGCTGATGTGCACTATGGGTTCTCTAGGGGCAGGAGCAGAACCACACAGGGAGAGGGGAGAAAGAACCCTACAGTGCAAGCTCTTCAATCACCTCTGTTTAAGAAATAAAAATTGTTTGCAACTATAGCTTCATTTTTAGGAGGGTACAGGAGTGTCAGCAGCCCCCGTGGCCCTCAACAAGGTGGGCTCTGCAGTGCTAACAGCAGGAAGCAGGAGGTAAAGCTACTCTTCCTCTCCCAAGGCAATAGCTGCAAAAAAACCTAACACTTGGACAGATTTATTTTTCTTTTTTACTAAATGTTCAGCTTTTCTCTGTACTGACTTGTCAGGACAGAGTCACCACTTAAGATCCTCCTCTGATCGAGGGAACAGGATGATTTCTCTGAACACAAGTTGCAGAATAATGCCAAATTTCTAGAAAAAAAAAAAGCTGTTGGATTTTTTTTGTGTGTTTTTTCTTTTTTTTTTTTTCTTAAAAAACTCATTATTGACTTAAGTTTGAATAGAATATTCAAGGGTAAAGAAACATTATAGAAAACTATCCTTACACAGCAAGCCCTGAAATCTGCACCATTTCTATAATATCTATATTAATTTGCAGAAGACATTAATGCTATAGACATATATTTTCTGAAACTAGTAAGTTTATTTAGAAATGTTTTCAGGTTTTCATAACTTGAGTGTAGTATCAAAAGCACCCAGGAAACCTCTTTTTGCAGCCTAAGACTGAGGATGTTGAGATCAGTTGGGTAAACTGAACACACACACCCCGGGCCCCGATGGGATGTACCCACAAGTGCTGAGAGAGCTGGGTGATGTTGTTGCTCTACCGCTCTCCATCATTTTCTAAAGATCATGGTAAACAGGAGATGTGCCTGAGGACTGAAGGAAAGCCAGTGTCACTCCAGTCTTCAAAAAGGGCAAGATCCAGGAAACTACAGACCAGTCAGCCTCACTCCCATTCCTGGGAAAATGATGGAGCAGATCATTCTGGAGGTCATCTCTAAGCACATGGTTATCAGGAGTAGCCAGCATGGATTTGCCAGGGAGAAATCATGCTTGACTAATGTGACAGCCTTCTATGGTGTTGTAACTGAATGGGTACATGCAGGGAGACCAATGGATGTTGTCTATCTTGACCTAAGCAAGGCTTTTGACACTGTCTCCCATAGCATCCTTGTGAGCAAGCTCAGGAAGTGTGGGACAGAAGAATGGACAGTGAGATGGATGAAGAACTGGATACACAAGAGAGCCCAGAGGGTGCTGATGAATGGTGCAGAGTCCAGCTGCAGACCTGTAACTAGTGGAGCCCCCAGGGGTCAGTGCTGGGTCCAGTCCTGTTCAACATCTTCACCAACGACATGGATGAGGGGACAGAGTGTCTACCCAGCAAGTTTGCTGATGACACAAAGCTGGGAGGAGTGGCTGATTCACCTGAAGGCTGTGCTGCCATTCAGTGAGATTTGGGCAGGCTGGAGAGCTGTGCAAAGAGGAACCTAATGAGGTTTAACAAGAGTAAGTAGAGAGTCCTGTACCTGGGGAGGAACACCACCATGCACCAGTACCTGACCTGCTAGAAAGCAGCTCTGTGGAGAAGGACCTTGGAGTCCTGGTGGACAAGTTGTCCATGGGGCAACAATGTGCCCTTGTGGCCAAGAAGGCCAATGGTATCCTGGGGTGCATTAAGAACAGTTTGTCCCATAAGTCAAGGGAGGTTCTTCCCCCCCTCTACTTGGCCCTAGTGAGACCCCACCTGGAGTGTTATGTCCAGTTCTTTGCTTCCCAGTTCAAGAGGGCCAGAGTTTTACTTGAGAGAGTCCAATGGGAAGCTACAAGGATGATTAAGGCACTGGAACATCTGTCTTATGAGGAAAGGCTGAGAGATCTGGGTCTGTTTAGTCTGGAGAAGACTGAAGGGGGATCTCACTAATGTCTATAAATACCTGAAGGGTGGGAGTGAGGATCACATAGCACTGGTACAGGCTGCCCAGAGAGATTGTGAAGTCTCCTTCTCTGGAGACTTTGAAGAGCATCTGAATGTGTTTCTGTGTGACCTGCCCTAGATTCTGTGGTGGTCCTGCTGTGGCAGGGGTGTTGGACTCAGTGATCTCCAGAGGTCCCTTCTAACCCCTACTGTTCTGTGATTCTGTGATGTTCTGAACCAGGTGCCACCACCTCTTTCAAGAACTACAGAAACTCTCCATATTTACATACAACCTGTAACGTTGTATTTTCTCAAACTCTATATTCTGCACCCAGGAACTCATTTACCCTGGCTCTCCATTGAACGATTAAACCATCTGTTGATCCTTTAATGCTATTACGCAACTGAAGTTCTAAAGGGACTGGCATCCAAGCAAAAAAGAATCCATGCAATGCCATAGGAAACTCTGACTTGGTGACATTCAGAATTCTTTCTAGGAGGAATTCAACACTCATGTATGCTGATTCCTAGGACACTATTCCGTTGCTAAAACAATGTGTCTTGTGCTATCAGAAATGCCTAAAACCTCCAAAACATTCACCTGAGGACGACCTGTATGACAGAACCTATGCTGTTTTGGCCCATCATTTTGGCCTCACCCTCTCAAATAGCACCAGATGCCTATGATTAAGCATCTGAATGGTACACTAGGTAAAAGACACTGGAGTTTTTTCTGGCCTAGCAACACTAGGAATAGAAAGCTTCTGGCAGTAGCTCATGCTCCACACTGAAATATGTGTCAGTCAAAGATTCTATTACTTTAACTCACCTGGGAATCTTCTCCATCTTCATACAACAACTTTTCAAGACTTGGAGTGAAAAACTTTTCCCGCAGCTTCTCATCACTGTCTTGAGCCTTCTTGTGCTCTCTTTTGGACTGAGTCTTTGCTAAGGCCTTACCTTTTTGACAGGGGACTGAGGCACTTCTGAGGTTTTCACCTCCATCTGCTTTCACTTTTTAAAGAGATGAAGAAAGATGTGCATGTAATTCTTAAGCTTTATGAACATCAGAATCAGTATTCAGTATGAGCATTGCCTGCAATCTTCAATGTGGCTTGGCCAGTGTGAAGTAATGAACAGCTTGGTAAGGTTTTTGGTTGGCAATCCAAGCCAAGTGCTGATTTTCCTCACTGTTCTTTCTATGTTTATTTCTGCAATCTAAAACCAGTTGCAACTGGATGGGGCTCTAAGCAACCTGCTCTAGTGGGAAGTGTCCCTGTCCAGGGCAGGGGGGTTAGAACTAGGTGATCTTTAAGGTGCCTTCCAACCCAAACTGTGACATGACTATTATTCAATTTTCAAACTTTTGTAAAGGTAGATTGTAGTTTTGTCTTCTCAACACAAGCTACATTGCTGCAGGGGCTGCAATGCCATGGGAAATCAAGTGTTCACTAAGTAAAACAGTTCGATAAAAAAATGAAGAAATTAAAAGTATTTAAATGTTCACTGGCTTATCAGTACTTATAAGCTACTGGGATGTGCATTACCTGCATGCTCTCTATCCTCTACTTCTTTCATTTCATCCTTAGGAAATTCATCTTGTGAGTCAGCTGCCTGGGCAGGAAACAAATGCCTATGAAATAAAAAAAAAAAAAAAAAAAAAGTTAAATTCATATGAGAGGTCTGAATTTTCTCTCTGAATTTTCCTGTGCAATCTTTTGGGGTCAGGGGTGGGAGGCCACCCTTTCTGAAAGCCATCTGCTGCTTAACCACAAGTGCAGAATAGTGCAATGGTTTAAAAATGCACCAGAGGCAGCCAGGTAGCTTAGTGGCTAATGAGCTGCTCTTTTTTATTCTTAGGACCTAAGTTCAACTATGTCCATGAGACTGAAAGAAAACAAATGTTAGAGCCTCCAGTCAGTCCAAGATTCAAACCACAGCTGGCAGCTCACACTTAAAACCAATCCAAAGTTTGGAGACTAGAGAAAAATGATTAGTTCTTAAGACTTGGAACATTTTTATGCAACACAGCTGAAATCACTGAGCTGGGACTGGAAAATAAAGACAGATCATTCCCATTGTTACATTGTGCTTTTAAGACCATTAGTGTTGACATTTAGCAGCTAAATTAATCTTTCTCTAGGGAACAAGTTAAATAATTTCAATATAAAAGAAACTAATACTACAGACAGACCTACCCCAAGGTCTCTTCCTTACTCTGTACCAGGTAATTTGTATCATTTGAGATTGCGAAACTCTATATATTTGCATATTCAACTTCACATCTTAAAACATTTTGCCAACAGTAAAGGAAAAATATATTCCTCCTGCTAATACACTTGGTCTGAGAAGTTGAATCTGAGACAAGTACCACTGAAGGAAACTATTTCCAAGATGCAGTGCTATCCCCACTAAAAGAAAGTAAGTGTCACTAGGTTGTAATAGATAATTAAAGAACCCAGTTTCTTCCCTGAATTTTGGTATTTAGGAGGTTACAATGTCACTGTCATCTTTTAGCGACATAAATCCCACACATATTCAGTCAAATTCTGCATCCTCTCAAGTAGGAAACTACCTTGGCTTTGTTGTGGAAGAGCCCAAACAGCTCTAGAAGCAGGAGAAGGCATTATGTTTTAAAAAAATAATTAAAGCGTTCTTGAGTCTGTAAAGCCACAGTTTTACCTGGGTGCTCTTGGCTCCTGAAGTCTGTCATCAACCAGTTTTGCCACTAAACTGATATTTTCTTCTTCCAGGAGCTGAACAGAGGCTTGCAAATCACTTAATTCCTTTTGGTAAATCTTAATCTTTGGAGAATTACAAAATAAAAAGTAAAAATATATATGTAAAAAAGATCATTTTAGAAAGACGATGCCTGTTTTGCAAAGCTTTCATAGTAATTATCTAAATAGCACATACCTAGAAAGAAGGCCGCTCTATCAGCAAGACTGCATTTGGTGGGGAACTATAGTGACACATTTCCAGGCAAAGGGAAGGCCTCTCTGGTTCCTTCACACCTTTTTTAGAACCCTTTGCAGGCACAACTCTGGCAATCACAACCACACGTGGCCTATGCAACCCTGATCCCTGTCATGTAGACAAACAGCTCTGGGAGACAGAAGCTCTGGATTATTTTTTAAATTTATTTATTTTTGCTTTCATATCAGAGCTTTGAGAGAGAAAAACCTTCTTTGTAGAGTTAACTTAAAACTCTTGCTCAGCAATCATTGTTTTTCTAATTGCTGCCTATACAAAAAGCCTTCTAGCTCTCAGTCCAAGTTAGCCACAACACTAGCTAAACCCCAGGGTCTCCTTTCTTTTGGACTGGTCATCACAGAATCATAATCACCCCATATTGCCATGAAGTTCCCACAATTCCTGTCACCTTTCTTGAAGTACAAGCAAGATCTTATCCCCTTCCTGAGAAGTGGAATGTACTATGGGATGGATACCTTCCCGGAAACCTTAGCTATATGCACACGTTCAAAAACAGTACCTAACGATCTGAATGCATCTGTTCTCACTGAAGCCAAATTAATCCAGCCATAATCATCCAAAGTTGCAGTTAAAAACTAGTTCTTATTTCTCCCAAGGATTAAAAAAGGTGAAAATGACAGGATGTTAACCAGTAACAGGATGTGGCTTGGCATGATGAAGTGATACCACTTTGCACCATCTTAGTGTGACACAGTAACCATGGAAACGTGACTGAAGTCTCCAAACCTGTTCAGATTTGGAGGTAACTAGTTTAGGGCTGATTCGGTCAGTCATTGTTCAGTTCAGCAGCCAAACTGAAAAAAATTATTAATTCTGAATCAGGACAAAACTGAAATTTCTGGTTTATCTCCCCAAAAGAAAATACTGAAAGAGTCTGCCAGCTAAATGTAAACACTAGGCTGAAATAAAATATTTCATCTATGTAAGAAAAGCAAAGAAAATGAATGGGTGAATTCAGAGGACTGGAGAAGTTTAGTGATTAGTTTTGCTTTGCACAACAATTCAAAGCAATAATTTATAACCTAGCAAACTGGTAACACAGGAAACTAAATCATAATATAGGAAACTTCTAGTTGAGAGGAAAGAAATCCAGATCACTCATCTCTGAGGTGAGGGCTTGTCAGGACATAAGAATATTGTGAAGTGGATCTCCCTTGTGCAACATTCATTAAGTGTTTAGTGAGACTGGAAGATGGGAAGGGAATTCCTACTCATTCCGTGCTAGGATATACGTATAGACTCAGGCTCCTGTTTGTTTATACAGACTGAAACATGAATTCCCTCCTGCTGACCACTATCTCATTGCCTCAGAAGCTGTGGTTTGGACACCCTCCCTGAAGGCTAAACATGTAGGGTCAGAGGTCATTAAGGAAAAGGAAAGCCATGTCCCTGCATACAGGCAAGTATCTTAACCTAGTAAGTAAAATGGAGAAACCTCTGCCCAGCTTGTTCATGTGGCACTGAAAAATAGTAAGTTTATTAATTTCCCAGAAAGCTTTGCTCAGTTCTAGGCTTTGAGGTTGTGAAGGTGGGGAACAGTATTTCCCCACCCAATTTCTTGCTTAGATTTGATTGCAACAAAGAACCTGTGTTGATTGGAACAAACACAATCAAACTGTCACCATGGAAAAATCTGTTTCCTAAATCTAGCTCAAAAAAAGGTTATTTCTTGACAAGAAAAGTTACAACTATCTAATATATAGCTCTAAATTGCAATTAAAAGACAGTGTAAAACTATCAAGTAATCAATTACAAAGTGGTATGATTCTGATTTTTCTCTCTTCAGCGTATTAATCTCCAAGGTTTTTTTATTATCTTCCATTTAAAGATGTTTCAAGCCCTTTCTCCAAAAATCTTTCCAACATCCCTAATAATTTTTTTTTTAATACAGTAGCACTAAAACTTAATTGCAATTCAAAACTACACTTTTCAGATACTGACATTGATGAGCCTTTACACTACACAGCATCCCAATCTCCACATACACAAATACTTAATTGTATGGAATGTTGTACTCCTTCATATAGCTGCTTGGGCAGGAAAAAAGGGTCCTTCATTTGCAAAAGAAGACACTCACCTTTTACCTCTATTAACCACATATGCTGTTTGCCACTCAGGATTACAGGTTAATTACAGGAAATTTGCTCTTCTTTTCTTATTAAAGCCTTCAGAGGCCCACCAGTGGGGACAGTTATGACTGTAGGCCATAGGATTTCAAACCTGCCATGATAAACTATACACAAGTGATCCTCTTACCTCTGCTTTTAGCCATTCATTCTCTTCAATTTCTCTGATGGTGTCTTTGTCTAAGTCTCTCACAGCATCCTGAGAAAACACAATTTAAGGTCATCTCATCTGAAAGCAGGACTTTGACAATGCTAAATAATGATATAGATATAATGTACCAACGTCTCTTGTTTAGCAGGAAATCATTAAGAAACAGCCACACAACAGACTGAAGAATCCGCTGAGGGATTACAAGGGGATTTAGTCCACAAAGCCAGATGTTTCTTCTCCTGCCTAGTGTACCTTATATGTCCAGCAATTTACCAATATTTTATAATTTCTCATATTAAAATAAGACATTTCCTTTTCACCTAACAAGTTCTACTGTGTTGCCACTACTGCTCAAATCTTCCTGTTTTCAGGAAATCAAACTTTTAACTATAAAAAATTCTGGAAAATCATAAATGAGGCAGTGTTGATCTATGACAAGTGACTTAAATATGTAGAGGTCTGTGCTAGTGAGCTGAGGCTACAATTTAATTTTTGATAACAGTAAGTGGAAAGGAACAAGTGGGAGCAAAGATGCCCCTGTAAAACACCATAAGCAGAGTCCTTTGGATTATATTCTCACAGGGCTGAAATTCCCAGCAATGAAGTCAAGGAATTTACACACCTAATGGGCCCACTTTGTGATTTGTACTGAAGAATGCTTTGCTTGTGCTTCGCTTTTTGTGACTGTAAGAAGTTGTCAGCATAAATACTTTGTAAATCTTGTTTACAAATCAGAGCTGGCAGATATGGCAAAAAAATCTATACATTAATGAGCTTAAATTTTACTGTAGACTGCACTATTTTGGCATTTTGAAATTGCTGTATCCTACAAGTACAATACAACTTTTTTTTTTTTTGTCTTTTTTTTTTTTTGTCAAATGTGTATTTCCCTGCAGACAATCTCTTAGTGTGTTACTGTTTTTTGAAGTCTATGCAAACACAAAAATTAAGGTCAGAGCAGAACTGACATGTTCTTGAACAAGTCTTATCAGTGCATGGTGCCCCAGTTTTCCATACCTCCTTTGTAAAATGCCCTCACATCTACTCATTGCTAGTCTCATGTGAAAAAAGTACACATGTGTATAACAATAATGTCATGTTTAGAAAGAAGATTTACAGTTTATTTTACTTTCAATTTATTAAAAAACTTCCAAGTCCTAATTTGAGTTAAAATAATTATTAATGCAGAGTACATGAATCCAAACTGTGATACAGTCATCACTTTTAAAAAAGGCAGAAGGAATACCTCAGGAGCCTGTTCCTTAGTTAGCTCCATGTGCTTCAGAACCTGTCTGTCATTTTCTTCTTTCATTGCTTTCAAAGTACTTCTAAAATATTCTTCAAAACAAACAAACAAAAAGAAAATCAGGAATTATTACTTGGCATCAATTTCTCCTGTCAGCAAATAGGTAACTGGCACGTTGTTTCTAAACTGGACCTCATCAGCCAGTATCTCGTGCACAGATGGTTCGCAGAAAAGGATTCAAACTTCCGTCCCCATAGAAATGGACCTGCTAAACCCAAAGGACAGCAGTGTGAACTATACAACTAAAAATCTTAAGTCTTACACATTTCTGTTGGCCACTACCACAGCTGAACAATTTGCTGTTAACTGAGCAGTCAGCTGAGTAATTCCCTGCTAAAAAATTAGTATCTTACACTAAAATTTGCCTCTATCTATAGCAGAGTTCCTGGAATCCTGTGAGAGATTTGCTCAGAAAACTTATTTTTTAGGTATAGAAATGTTGCATCACCTTATGCACATGACATTTTTTTCAGTTTTTGTACTGAGCTTAATAAATGTCCTGACGTATCTCAGCCATCCAGGAGGGTTCTAACTGAGAACAGGAAAAAAGGACAATTTGGCAATTGCCTCAATGATTTCCTTTCATCATGACTTGTGGTCATTATTCAAAAATTGTGTCTTACGTCAAACTGAATTGGTTTGACTTCAAGTTCCAGTCACTTACTATTTCATTATTTCATCCTTCCCTTCAGAAGGGATCAAATAATACCATTGCTACTTGGTACTTTCTCCTTTTGAAGGAACAAATGAGATTGGAGTAATTTTCTTTGAAAGAATGCACTTCTTACTTGTTCCAGAGGCTTTAAATTCAGCCTAGCTCTGCACTTGTGTTGCAGGCAGCCTATTCCTGATCTGGCTGTAAATGAGTATCTGGTCAGGGACCCACTGTGGAGTCACAGACAATCAAATATGAAAAGTGCATTAGTTGAGCATTCATTCTTAATTGAACACTGTGAAAACCGGCCTGCCCTTCATCTCTCAACCACCTAGACTTGGCAGAATGAAATAGAAGTACTTACATACTATAATTAATTAATCTTTCAGACAGCTAAACAACCTGAGTTGTACTGGGAGAATGAAGAAAAGGAGGATTGGGTCAGACACACCTACTGTTTCTAAGGAGGCTATTTTCCCTAAATCTCTCACTACAGCACTGGTTTTCCCCAGACATCCCAGAAGTGTATGGCTCTCTTTTGCTTCGTCTTCCCTTCACAATTTCATTTTAAATGTCATCTCCAGACAACATGAACTAAGCCATCTTCAAGCCCTTCAGTGGCACCTATAGATAGAAACTTCTTCAATTATGCCTATTCCCTAAGTCTGGAGCAAACTCAGGGAGTGAACAAACCCAATTTGCTGCCACATGGAATCTTGTTACTTTTTTTTTTCCTTTTCTTATTTTGATAGACTAGAAGGCTGTACTCCCCAACCACTTCATAAGTTCAATTTTAGGAAGCTGAGTAAAATAGTATGCTGATGTCCAGTACTGGGAGCATCATTTTGCAGTATGTTAATTAGGCAACTGCTTCATGTGCCTCTGTTACAGTCTTTCTATAACTACACTTCTGTTCAACTGCAAATTTTTGGCTCTGTACCCTGTGACATGCAGGAGGCCAGACTGAATGCTCCTACTGGCTCATTCTGGCATTCTATATAAAAGTCCATTCTCTTTTTCAGTTCATATTTCAGCAGCTGTATAACAAAATATTAAATTGATTAAGAAAACAGAACATGCATAATGAAAAACATCAATCTCTCTGAATACAGAGATGAATACCTGACAAGTTAACTGGCAATGCAAAAAGCACTGTGCAGATCTTAATTGTGATAAAATATGTTTCAAGAAACAAAAAGATAGCTAGTTGGCTCTCATCCACAGTAGTTGATGCCTGGTAATGGTTGGCACAGAATATAGAGACCCTTAGAGCAGTGTCACTGCCTGTTACTACCAGCTGCTTGGCTGTGGTCATGCATACTGAGAGACATAAAGGAAGAAAACCAGAACATTCTCCTCCCCTTAGAACCCTGGGTTATGTAACAGCAAAATATTTAAATGATTTTTAAATAATGCAGTAGTAAAAAAAATCTTTGTAAAGCACTCAGCACCACAATACATAAGCTCTCAAATTAAGTCTACTGTGGTGTCATTACTGAAACAGTTCCCAGGGTTTGTAGATGCCTGTTCTGGCAATTTTGCAGGGCCTTAGGTAAGAGACTATAACAAGGAAGCAAAGTTCAGACCACTGGCTGAACAACTCCCTGTAGTTCTGCACTGAAACCAGGATTCTCAATCCTGGAGAGACTGTTCCAAGAATGAGCTCATACTATGTTTCTGTCAAGAGTTTTCAACATGTAAAGAGCTTGTGGCATGATACAAAGCAACAAGAGCAGAGTCAACACTTTCCAAGGGAGACTGGTCTGTGTGGGACCTAAATACATGCAGACTTAGTTTTACAAAATTGCTGTCCTTTACTGTAACATTTTAAAATATGGGTTGCCTATATTTTACAAGAAAATCCTCAGAAGACAAGGTTATCAGTTTCTCTAAGTGTTTGTATTTTCTGCAACTTCACAAAATGTTTTAGAAAGGGACTTTCATGGAGATAGTTTTTCCATTTTATAGGATTATGTGGTCTAGTTAGGTGTACTGTCTTGCAAATGTTCATACAAATTACTGTAACTTCATATCAAACTAGACTTAGAATTTAATTAGTTCCCAGAAGTAATACAGAAGGAGCTTATAAGGCTTGCATTACACTAGCTGAAAACTGACCTGTAGTCCTTTGAAGGTCATCTTTGACTTCCTGAATGTCTTTTTCCAAATTCATAATCTTGTTGGCATCTGTTTTACTTCCTACATTTTTGTACTCCAACCAATAATCTCTCTCAGCCTGCATTACTGAAATTCTTTTCTCAGTTTCTTCAATCTCGGCTTGTATATCTATTAAAGCGAGAATGTCAGAAGACAAGTTCACTACCAGTTTCTTGAACTGAAAGTTCATCATTCTTTAATAAAGTCACTTTCACTGAGATTGGGGAAAGAAAGGTGATTCTTCCACACTACAATGATTACAACATGATGGCCTGACATGGTGTCAAGGGCCACCAGCTTCTCCTTCTGCCAAGGAGACACAACAGGTCTCATTGAAATGTAACCAAAGACACATGTGACTTCACTGCCAGGGAGAATGGCAAGGATGGCAGCCAGAACTTCTAACAGTCAAAATTGCTCATTTTCTCTACCATCAACTATTTTTCTTGCCTTCCAGTGGAGCCAGGGCATAGGGCTTTCAGGAGCTTGAACATAATGGAAAATATAAAGTCTGTTACTTTGTATTCTGTATATTGTATTATTATCTCGTATATTACTGGCACAACAATACACATCACTTGGAAGGAACAAAACAGAGTCAAATATACTGGGCCTGTTTCTATAAAAGACCTGCGTGTTTTCAATTTTAACTCAACTTAATTGACAGATTTACTTCTAAGCCCTCCACAATCTCATACCACTTTAGATAGCTTAACTTTGGGGAGGGAAAGCCTTATGTTTTTTATACAATGAGGAAATTGAATCTTTATTTAAAATGCAAAAAAACCCCAAAACACTCAGTCCTAACTGTGTGAACTGCAAACCACACTTCCACAACTCACAACACACCTTTCAGAAGCTGTTCTTGGTCCTTTTCATACTGCCATACTGTTTTCAGTGAATCTTCCACATCATCCCTGGTTACAACCTCCTTTTTATCTTGGTTTTTCTCCTCTTCTTCTAATTGCCTTAGGATACGCCTGATGTGTGCCTGCTTTTCTTCCTTCAGAAGGTCATGCTGTGAAAGGACAAGAAAAGAAAAGGCATGTATTAAAACACTTCAAATTAGTTTTCAAATTTACAGACTTAAGTCATGAAGTAAAATCTGACCTAGTGGCGGGTGCACTGCAAAAGCACTCAGCTCAACACCTGTTCTTCATATTCAAAAAGGATAAAGCAAAAGGGAGAGTTTACAAGTGTCAGATGTTTCTCAGTAACTTCAAGAGCATTACAAGGAAAAGGAAGTCGAATGACTGCTGTACCGAGTGCAGCACAAAAATAGGCCTCCATTGCCTGGAAAGAAAGTTCCTTGTCTGTTGATTTCATAACAATATTTATTTGTAGGAGTTATTTACTTCATTTCAACATTCCTCATGACCATTTACCACCTTCATATAGATGTCAGACAATCAGGTCACTTGCATGTAGCCATAGTAGCGAGTCTTGTCAGAACTAGAATTAGTCATACCTACTGATTCTGTAACTGTGATTACATCCCCTTGCCCTGATCCTCTCAAGAGACACTCTGAAATTACTGATTGTGTATGTTTGCTCCTGAAGGATACCAATTAGGAGCAAATAACCATACCAGCCAAACTGTAACAGTAACTGTGCAGCAGTGAGAGTCACAAACATTCCTCACTTTCTAGAAGGATTAACTCTAAACCACTCAGAAACATTAAGCAGGAAACAAAGAATGGAGTTCAAGGAACTGTCAAAACATGAGTAAACTGAGCAAATGGCACTTCAAGCATGCCCTTAAGTACCCTGCACAGTTTAAAATATGAATAAGTCCTTGAGAGACCATGTACTAGCAGCAAATTGGGGGAATAACTGTAAAAGACTTCAAATGTCTGCAAAGAGAAGCGCCAAATGCCTCTTCCACTTACAGTGAATGTAGTATTAGGACTTAAAAAATCCAGTTCAATCTGTGAGTTAAAATACCGCATCTACAGTGTATTGGGAGAAGTATGCATGCCTACTTACTCTTTTGTGACATTCTTTGTTCTTTTTTTCAGCTTCTTTCAGATCAAACAACGTTTCATCAAGTGCTGTTTCTTTTGCCTCGATTCTGTGAAGAACAAGTAAAGAAAGGAAGTTCTTAAAAGAACAGAAGGGAACACAGAGAACTGTCATTTATGCTAAATTAAATGCAAACACTTCTTAAATGTTTCTTTTTCTATCACATTGCTTGATCAATTTGATACTGCTGTCCACTTACTACACATAAAAATAAATATTTCCCATATACATCTGAACCTTCATATTAGTTTAGGTATCATAATTCTACTGAGAATCAGACTCCCTGATTGTACTGTTCCTCTGTAGCTGCTAGAAAGGATTAAGCTGGTTTATTCCTTTCTGGATGTGGTTTAACAGACCTATGGCACAGGTGTCTTTTAGGACAAGATTTGCTCCAGAAATATTTATTACTCACCACTCACAACAGAGGAAGCCTTGAGGACTCAGACAGACTTAGGTCAGATGAATCCCAAATTAAATTCTTCCAAAAATATTGTTTGCTGGGCTTCATAGAGTGTATTTGTACACAAAGAACTTGTTGGCCTTTAAGAAGCACTAAGGGAGTAGGGACTGCAGCCCAAGTAGTTTCCTTTCAGTATGTTTATACATTTTTGTGAAAGAACTCACTTACTGCTTTCACAATTTTCATAGACTACTTGTCATCCTCTTTGCCACAGCTGCAATTATTTTTTTTTTCTGATATTCCCTCTTCTATAATGAGAAATGCTGGATTGCAAATGGTGCCTATTTGCAAAATTCTCTGTAATCTTTCCTTCTCTTCCTGGAATTCATTCACCATACAGCACAACAAAGGCAAGTATTATCATTATCACAGTATCTTTTACTGTTTCAACAGCTATTGTTCCTTGGGTTGTATTGTTTGTTTTCATTTTTTTGCCCCTCCCTATTGTGTGCTTTTTCCTGGCTATGTTTAGATCACCAAGTCATGTAAATTGCAGGTTGCTAGATTTGCATCCTCTGGTGTCTGTGCTCCAAGGTATTCTTCAGATTTTCCATGAAGTACAAGGATATTACTAAGAGGGACTAGAATGAAGATACACGGGCATGGTGGTGATGACTACAGCAAGAATATCTCACTTATTAGACACAGGCAACAGTTTGGTAATGTACTGTTACCTCCTAAATTACCTGCCATTTCTGTATTTTGGATACTGATGCTGATTTTAATTTCTAGTACTTCAAAATTTTCCATGAAGTGGCAGTCTACATCTGTCACTTTGTTAATGTAAAAAAATTTCTAGTAGAATTTGCTATTTTGTCAGCTACATATTGGAACTTTCCTCTTTATATTATTTTTTTCTACAGTATTTGTCAGACTAAAGCCACAAAACAGCTATATTGATGACTCCTTAGACACTATTTTTCTCAACTCTGTATATGAAGTTTAATTTAGATTATTTCATCACCTAGAAACAACACTCCTCTCGAGTACCATGACAGTTTTGTCAGTCATTTACAGGATGTTACCAGGGCAAGTAATTAATGAGATTGTTGTTACTAACCAATCCAGAAACAGAAAACTACTGAAAATGCTAAATAACAAACTTGCTGTGGACAGCAACCATTCTTCACTGTATAGAAGAAAAATTAGGAATGGAAATTAAGTATTGAACACTTGATAAATCCTGAAATAAATGTGACAGATATTTACTTGTAAGATTATGCTGCTTTGTTCAATCAAGTGCTACAGAGACATTGTAGATGACAGAGGTGGAGAGATAATTAGAGGTAGAAAGATAAATACAGAAAGAAAAATACTTTTCTTCCCTTTCCCCCCTAGAAACGAAAGATCCTGTATCAGAACAGCTCACATTTCAATGGAAGATTCTTCACACAATTGAGACATTTTCTTGGATATTTGAATATGCATAACAATAATTTAATCAGAAACTCGTGTGTTGTGGGTTTTTTTTCCTCACCCTAGCAATACAGTTTACTTATTTATTAGCAAAATGGATGGCCTTGTTGACTTTTTGAACTGTATTTGTTTGTAACATGATTTGGCTAAATCTGGTCTGTTTCACTATGGAAACTTGTACTCTGCTCTTTGTAAAATCAAACAGAAAATCCCACATAAACCCTGTAAACTCCTATAGATGTCACTAGAATTGTATGTGGTTGCTCTTCAGCCTGCTTTTCATTTCTACAGCAAGGCACTTACACTTGTTCCCTAAATGCTGGTAATTGTTGAATATTGGATGTTGTTGAGGTTTTTCCCTTTCAATTTCCATCTTTGATACACAGCACAGAGATTAATTTTTCTCTTTTTGATCATGTACTCAAGATATTGGAGATCAAATAAATCGGAGTGTTTTGTAACTACTTCTGATATAACCTTCTTAGCTCCTTTTTTTCTCTGCTTGATTTTAAAATACCTTTTAGTTATCCCTCCATTATTAAAAATAAAAAGTATTCTTTCATACTGTGCTCTCAGCTGCACCAAAGAAGCAAACTGTAGGTCCTGAGGTTTTTGGGTAGTGACTACCTACCTCTGTGAACACCAAGGAATCCCAAAAAACCCAATTCAGTGTGGTCTTGCAACTTCAGAGTATGCTGATCAAAAGCATGCGACCAACAGACAAAATTGTAGTGTTTTCTTTGTTTCTAATAAAAGTCCTTTACCTAAGTTATAAACTAACTGCATAAAATTATTTCTGACCCACTTATATGATATCTTATAGGTATAGTTTTAAAAGCGTGTATCTAAGTGTCCCATGACATCCTTGCGAGCAAGCTCAGGAAGTGTGGGACAGAAGAATGGACAGTGAGATGGGTGAAGAACTGGATACACAAGAGAGCCCAGAGGGTGCTGATCAATGGTGCAGAGTCCAGCTGCAGACCTGTAACTAGTGGAGCCCCCAGGGGTCAGTGCTGGGTCCAGTCCTGTTCAACATCTTCACCAACGACATGGATGAGGGGACAGAGTGTCTACCCAGCAAGTTTGCTGATGACACAAAGCTGGGAGGAGTGGCTGATTCACCTGAAGGCTGTGCTGCCATTCAGTGAGATTTGGGCAGGCTGGAGAGCTGTGCAAAGAGGAACCTAATGAGGTTTAACAAGAGTAAGTAGAGAGTCCTGTACCTGGGGAGGAACACCACCATGCACCAGTACCTGACCTGCTAGAAAGCAGCTCTGTGGAGAAGGACCTTGGAGTCCTGGTGGACAAGTTGTCCATGGGGCAGCAATGTGCCCTTGTGGCCAAGAAGGCCAATGGTATCCTGGGGTGCATTAAGAAGAGTTTGTCCCATAGGTCAAGGGAGGTTCTTCTCCCCCTCTGCTCGGCTCTAGTGAGACCCCACCTGGAGTGTTGTGTCCAGTTCTGTGCTTCCCAGTTCAAGAGGGACAGGGTTTTACTTGAGAGAGTCCAACAACAGGCTATGAGGATGATTAAGGGAATGGAACATCATATAAGGAATGTCATATAAGGAAAGGCTGAGAGACCTGGGTCTGTTTAGTCTGGAGAGGAGAAGACTGAGAGGAGATCTAATTAATATGTATAAATATATGAGGGCTGGGCATCAAGAATGCAAGGACAACCTCTTTGGACTTGTGCCCTGTGATAGGACAAGGGGCAATGGATTCAAGGTAGATCATTGGAAGTTCCACGTCAACATGAGGAAGAACTTATTTACTGTGAGGGTCACATAGCACTGGAACAGGCTGGCCAGAAAGGTTGTAGAGTCTCCTTCTCTGGAGACTTTCAAGACTTGTCTAGACACTTTTCTGAGTGATCTGCCCTAGATTTTGTCCTGCTCTGGCAGGAGGGTTGAACTTGATGATCTCCAGAGGTCTCTTAAAGCCGCTAACATTCTGTGATTCTGCAATAGCCTTAAAAACCCAAAAGAAGAACACGAATGAACATTACACAACTGTCACAGGCAATCAGCTCAGGATCTGAATTGGTAAGTTTTGTTGCCTCCTCTATCCATTCATGTATTTTATGTGTGTGAAAAGGTAAATATACTAAACCTACTCATATTCTAGTAAGGCTTCTGGGAAGTCTGATTCAGGTTCTGTAAATTCCTCTTCTGGTTTCTCCTCTTTCTTCTTGTCTTCCATGGTTTTTGTTACACTTGTGCTAGAAGTTTAGATCTGAAGGGAGGAAAGGGCAAGTGGAAAAGAAAAAGGGAAAAAAGATAAATTAATGATTTACAAAATTATATTATGTTCACCAGGCTTTATCACTTGTGACAAGTTCCTAACAGTACTGAAATACACTAAACAAGATTTATTTATTTTTTTAAATAAAAAATCCTGACCAGGGTAGCTCTTAGGACCATGTTTTGAGGACATCCTGAAGTGTTGTCCCAGTAAAGACGTGTTCACAAACTGTGAACTCTCTATCACTAGTTACTTATTGCATCCATTGCTGTGGGCTGTTTTACATCCTTGCAAATCAAACAGGCAGTTGTTCCTTTTCCAGTTCCTTCTTCCTGGTTCTTTATCAGGCTTGTTTTATCAACTTCACTTGCTAATATGCATTCCTTTTGCTCTCTGGTTCTCCTAGCACTGCGAATATTTGCCTTTCTCTGCAACTCTGATACCAGTTTTCATTGTCAGAGCTGGAACAAAACCGTTCTCTGAAGGGATACACGTCAGCAGCATTTCCTGGGTGTGTTGTCACAACTTCCAACCTCAATTCAACTGACAGTGAATAGTTCTATAATGGAACTGGTAGCATATATTATATAAAATTAAAAAGTCACTACTTACAAAGATTCCTCACTTTTCACAGTCACATCATCAAATGCTAAAACCAAGTTAGTTCATGTAACATAGGAAGTTTTATGACTGAATGAGTAGAAACATTGCATATAGCCTTTTTTTAGTATTAAATTGCTTTTCTGAATAAAAGTTCTGAATTCTCACAATTATCTTTCTAAAAGCTATAATTGGTACCAACTATTCTGTGACTGACTACAGCAAGCTGCATTCTCTTCCTGCTAGAACAAGCATAAGGAAACAGAAAAAAAAATCCCCACCACTCCGAACAGTAGAAAGCCATATAGCAAGGCTGCCAAACTGATGCAAAATGAAGAGAACGAAGTTAAAACCAAGTATTGACACATGCACTCTGATCCATACGGTGGCATGTGCCTTCTGGCTGCAATCACCACACCCTGAAGCAAGGCAGGGTCAATTTTCTGTATACAAAATAACTTCCTACCCTCAATGAGTAGCTGGTGTCTCCTGATGAAACCAGTGAGGGTGCTGAGGGCAGGCAGAGCGCTGTATGTGGCTGAAAGGCATGTAAAAGGAATTCTCACTGGATGGCAGCTCTGCAAGGTAAGTGAAAGAAAGGGTAAACATACCGTGGAGTCTATGTTCCCACGCAGATCCCCAGACCTTAGAATATCTTTTTCATAATGTTTTATCCAGAAGAATTTTACTCCTACTCTGTTGGAAACCTGCCTGTGCAGATTTTGTCTGTTCTGTTGCTGAAGAAAAAATCACACTCCTAGGGACAGTTGTCTAGAGCTGTTAATTACAGTCTTCACACCAACAGATTATTTTTGTTGCAGATGTAGCTAATTCCATTCACATAAACCCAGAAAATTCTGGCTCCCACCAATACCTTGAACTTCTGAAATGCCCCAAATCACAAGTTTTAATGGTTGTTACACATTAGTACAGTATTTCTACTGTGGAACTTCAGTAGAATCAAGCCTGTGTCACAGTATCACATGACTGCAATAAACCTCACTAACATTTACCATGGCAGAAAAAATCCTTTTGCACCTGAGCATCCACTTGAGTCTGGAGCCATATTAAGTCCTTAATATTCAAAGCCTTTGCAGATACGAGTTCAACACAAAACTTTTCATGAAACTTTATATATCTTAAACATGTGACTGTTTTAAGATTGAGATTTTTAAAAAAGACCAAGTGAATTAAGAAAAAAATCTCAGTGAGACAGAAGTTAGGTACTTAGGTCCCCTAGACCCTTTTGAAATTTCCACCCCTGATGCACAAGTGCAGGATACATTTTTTAAGTATAAAAAACTGAATCTGCCATCCCTCTTCAGTGCAGAATTAACTCAGCTGGTATTCATTCCATTTTCACTCGAGCATTTATTTTACTTATTTTCCTCAGAAATGTAAGATCTCTGCAGCAATTCCTAACATACATACATATATATATATCTATATATAATTTCTGCCCCTTCCACTTAAATGGATAATCAAGTCCCCTGTTTCAAACTGCGTACAAACTGAAAGGTTTTGGGCATTGGTACTTTGAAAAGGTTTTGGGTTTGTTGTTTTTTTTCAACTCTAGCCCCAGGTGAATTCCAGTGACATATTTATGAAGTTCTTCTGTGCAGGAAACAAGAAGAAAGCTTCCATGCTGTACAATAAGGTAAAAAATCCCAACATACTATGGTAACAGATTTGCTGGATTTTGCAAACCATAGAAAATACACACTCATGAGAAAGGAACATATTTAGGACTGAGAATTGACTGCAGATTTTAAACCAGCAGGAAAACATTTGCAAAAGGCAGTATTTACTTATTCTCATATCTCAAATCATGAGGTGTAACTCTTGACAGGCCTTCTTTATCCCTATCAGCACTTCCTCAATCAGCAACTACACTAGCATTACATCCTTGAAGAAGCAAGCAGCACCCAGACAATGCAACCCAACTACCGTGACTTTCAAGACACTAATCACAGGGACCACCCTTAATGGGGGCTCATTACTCACATGAGCTCAATCAGTAGCACCCACACCAGCACTTGCACTCACACTGTTATCCCTGTATCTCATGCAGCTGCATTATCAGTAGCCTCCACTCCCGCAATCCTGGTCAATAATTACCTCGTCACTCTTGCAGCCACATGGAAACCACTTTCCAATCTCCAAAGCAGGCTAACAAGTCCCTCTGTCCTCAACTGTCTTCTGCAAAACCCTTCCTGCGTGTTCCTTCCACATGGTCCTTGCTATTCCCTTTGTCACCAGGCAATGCAGTAGACAAAGCTGGGCCACCCTTCACAGTGGCCACAGCCTCCCTGTCTGCAGCCACCAGACCCTGCTGGTGCTGTTGCTCTGGGCCTAAGCACCTCCACTTCTGAACAGCCAACACCAACCAGTGCCCTATACAGCCATGTTTCTTGGAGAAAGTCCAGAGGAGGGCCATGAAGATGGTCTGAGGGCTGGAGCACCTGTTCTGTGAAGGCAGACTGAGAGAGCTGAGGTTGTTTAGCCTGGAGAAGGTTCTGGAGAGACCTTACAGCAGCCTTCCAGTACCTGAAGGGGCTGCAGGAGAGCAGGGGAGGGTCTTTTTACAAAGGCTTGTAGCAATAACACAAGGGGGAATGGCTTTAACTGGAAGAGGGGCGATTTAGATTAGACATTAGGATGAAATTCCTCACAAGGAGAGTGGTGAGACACTAGCACAGCTTCCCAAGAGAAGCTGTGCCTCACTCCCTGCAAGTGTTCAACGCCAGGTTTAATGGGGCCTGAAGCAACCTGGTCTAGTAGGAAGCATCCCTGCCCATAGCAAGGGGGGTTGGAACTAAATGATCTTTCAGGTCCAACCATTCTGTCATCTCCCCTCACCCTGCCACCACCCACGCCCAAGTCCCCCCTCAGGCCACCTGCGCCCTCCGTGCCGCCAAGGCCTTAAACGGTCACCACGACCCCACGGCGCCGCCACCACCACCACCCCCCTCGTATCCCCGCTGCGCCCACACCCAGTTTCC